GATATTCACGATTCTGCTACTGAAGGCTTTTTTAATCACTACGTATTCCAAGCTGCTTGTCCTCAGCTCCTTTTACTGCTGTTAAGCTACTCCTGCTATCGAGACTTCCTGGATAGATCTTTCAAATTAAAACCACATGACCAGAAAGCTAAATTCTCCCTCTATCGATATGAAATACTCACAAAAAGTGTGAAGCATCAGTGGTGGTTCATAGACAGCAAAGTGATGTGAACTGAGGTTAAACAATAAATAAATAAACTGTTTTTTTGGTTAGAAAAGAGACGATCAAATGATTGCCGTCGGCCTGATGGAGCTAAGCTGTGAGAATGTGAGAAATCACGTTAGCTATCAGTGAAGGAGCAAGACTTGTACTGGTGTCGCTAATTAGCCTCGAGACAAAATGTTCAGGTTGTTAAATTATGAAGGATGTATTTTGTGTAGCCTCGGTATCAAACTCATGTCGCAGAGTGTTTGTCTTCCTCTCCTGGCAGTCAGAGTGATCACACAAACGCTGTCCATGTGTTCCTATAAGGTCTGTCCTTCCATCTGTAGTCCCTTCTCTGAACTTTTTTATCTGAGTTATCAGGATGTTTTTCTGCCGTAGTCCTTGTTGCTGCTGTAGCTTTCTCCATTTCCATTTTATTGAATGCTTCTCAGTTTAGCTCTTACATCCAGTCATTGCTGGTTGATGTCACCTCAGACAGCAGATGTAAAGCTCTGATGCAACTACTTGGAGCTAACAGGCCTTATTAGCATTGGATGAATTGTTTTGGAAAGGGCTTGAATGTAAGGTATGTACAAATGCACTCTAGCTTTAGTTATTTCAGAATTTGGGAAATGCTTATATATATATTAAAAACTAAAAACAACAACAACAAAAAAACAATGTCCAGAGGTAATAAATAAAGCAATAAATTCCATCCTTTAGCTGCACCTCCACCAGCTCTGGGAAAGTGATCGTTGAACATTAATTCATTTGACTTAAATACTGGATGTTGCTCTATTGCTGGATAAGAACTGTTATGAAACTGCTTACTGCAGCTTTAAATGTATGAAAATGTACAAACTGTACTTTCCTTTCAGTAAATGACGGCGATAACAACACTGTGGCCTACTTTACGTTGCTTCATTGTCTCACACCAGAGCAGCTCATCGTGCACATCGGCTGGTTTACACGATGGAAATACAAAAAATATCAGCTTTACCTAAACCTTTAGTTCATGAACTCTTTAAAATAACCCAATATCCACTCGGGATCGCTCAGAGTTTGTAGATGTCAGGTGAGCAGAGTGGTTTTACCAGATGAGTTACAACAAATGAAGAGAGTTGGCAAAAGCACACCAAATAATATCTGGAATATTTAACTGGTGTGTCAAATTGTATGTTAAATATTCCATCCATCCATCCATTATCTATAAACCACTTAATCCTCACTAGGATCCCAGCCAACTCAGGGCGAAGGCAGGGGACACCCTGGACAGGTTACCAGTCAATTTACAATCACCAATTAACCTCAGCATGTTTCTGGACTGTGGGAGGAAGCCGGAGAACCCGGAGAGAACCCACGCTGCACGGGGAGAACATGGAGACTCCACGCAGAAAGATCCCGGGTGTCCTCACCGGGACGCCAACCAGCGACCTTCTAGCTGCGAGGCGACGGTGCTAACCACCGAGCCACCCTGCAGCCCCATTATATTAAATATGAAATCAAATAATATTTTATTCTTACAGTTATAATTAAGGTCCCTCTTGTGTGCATGTACGTGACCCACAAACCCTGTCATATTGACACTTACAGCCACTTGTATAAACCATGTGTATCATGGCAGTCTCGAGTCTCCAGTGACTCCAATGATGCTGAATTTTCTAGTTGAATACATGCGACTTTGTTACAACAAACAATCATGTGTTTTGGTTCTTTCATAGATTTATTATCGGTCTTCTGGAAACATGCTGGGTGAAAAATATACACATACATACATTTTCTTAATGGCATGGCCTCTCAACCTCTCATGAGTGATTACGATCCAAGCCATGCTAAATAGGACCCATGTGATCCACTCATGAGACTCTACAGTGGGAAAATCTGAGGAGCTCAGCAAAGATCTGAAAAAGCAAACCATTATCTTGAACAAGTCAGGAAAGTCACTTGGAGCTATTTGAAAGCAGCTAAAGATTGCAAAATCATCTGTGCAAACAACTGTTAAGAAGTCAAAAGTTTAGGGTGCAGTTGTGTCTCTGCCATGATCAGGAGGAAACACAAGCTGAGACAGTTGGTCACGATGGTCAAGAGTCAACCAAGAGTCACCAGAAAGCAGGTCTGCAATGAACTAGAAGATGCTGGAACACAGGTGTTAGTATCCACTTTCCAGTTTGTTTTACATCCTCATGGGGTGATGATGAAGAAGGAAGCCCTTCCTCTAGGAGCAGTGGCTTAAGACTCCACTGAAGGCTGTTGCTGATCATGTGAACAAACGAGAGGCCTTTTGGAGGAAAGCTCTGTGGTCAGATGAAACAAAAATCTAGCTATTTGGCCAGAATGACCTGAAACATGTTTGGAGGAGAGAACCTCAAGAGCACCAACAACCTACTGTATAAGCACGGCGGTGGTAGTATCATGCTCTGGGGCTGTTTTGGTGCTCGTGGAACTGGTGCTTCATACAAAGTAAACCAAATAATGAACAAGGGGGGCTACCTCTGCATTCTTTGGGAAGAGTCGTAAAGAAATGGCTAAAGCAGTTTCCCTAAAGTTCTGACTTAAAGCCCGTGGAGAACCTGTGGACCATGATGGAGAAACAAGTCTGTGTCAGAAAGCCAACAGACTAAGTTCAGCTGAAACGTTCCAGAAGCTTGTGGACATCTACCAAAGCGCCTGCTTGAGTGTTATGTTAGCATTGCTTCATTTGTATTTTTGACCCAACTGATGTTGTCATATTCCCAGAAGACGTAAAATAAACCTATGAGTGAACTAAACTGCATGAGGTTCAGGAGTCATAGGAAGCTCAAGATTGCCATCACATGCATGGTTTTTACGGGCGCATGTAGTCCGGCTCCATGAGCGCTGTGATGATGCTCGACATGCTACAATAAAGTGTAAGTAGCTGTTTACTATCATAACCTTTAATAAGAGGATTGTGGTATCATGTAGTCAAAGAGGAATCTGGAGAGAAAGGCAGCAGAGAGGCAAGATGGTGTGGGTGTGTTGCTAAGCAACAACCACAATGTCTGTTTTCCTCATCGCCACAAAGGATCAGTGGAGCTGAGACCCAGATCAGAGAGAGAAAAATGAAACCATGATGTCTCAAATTAAACTAGTGAGGTAGTGGGAAAGATACCCAGACTTCTCTTCTGTCCCTGAAAGAGATGAGCCTGCAGAGAGGAGGGATGCTGGGCCGACGGGTCCATTAGGATTTGTGTTGTCTGCAGGAATGAGGAGCTAAACAGCATTATGAATGGCCTGTGTGGAGCCTGGGGCCATGTTGACGCAGTGAAGCTGGTGATGTGTACAGGGCAAAGTGAAATATGACCACTGCAGTGTCTTCATCAGTAGCACTGCTTCCATCTCCTATTGCTCTCCACGTTTCTGCCTCAGCGTTCATCTTCTAAAACTTCCTGTTCCTGTTAATGTGTCTCCATCTTAGCTTACGTTCACCTTAGCTTCTCATTGATTTTTTTTCTGTTCTCCATGCAGTCTGCTGGTCAGCTGCCCTGCTGATACACGCACTATCAGTTCATGGTGGAATTTTGTGGTGAACAAAAATAAAAGTGTCTGCAGCGAAACCACCAACTACAAAAACGTTGTAAATGTTCTATTCTGGTGTGTCGCTGCTGAATATCCTGCAGCAGTAGCCCAGCTAGTTAGCTGTTGCCAAGAATTCTGAATAAATGGCCAACAGTATAGAAGCAAAGCCCCCCCACACCACCATAGCTCCATCATCGCTCCATCATAGCTCCATCATGGCTCCATCATAGCTCCATCCATGCACCACAGCTGGAACCACATATGTAGACGCTAGAGATGTCCAAAGGTTGCCTTCGGAGTCCATCCTGAGAACTTTTTTACTGATCGACCTCAGCATCCACGAAAATCACAAGAATACTGTCAACACTAAAGTGATGACAAGTCCTCTTTGAATTAAATATGTCAAATGAACAAGGGCTGCAAAACGGTGATTAGTGTTTTCCAAAGCCCAAGATATTCAGCGCACTGTCATAGAGGAGGGAAGAAACTAAAGCATCCATCCATCATCTGTACACCGCTTCATCGTCACTGGGGGCAGTTACTCAAATTGATAAATGGATAGTCAACATGGTTGGTGATTCATTTACTGGTGACAACTTCCTGGTTAATCAATTTTTTCTTGCTGCTCTAAAATAAGCAATAATTTAAACATTAACATTTTTACTGCCGTGTGAGTATTGGTGCTAACCATCACTTGTTGGTCTCCTTGATCACTGATCATTGCATCGATATTGGCCCTGAAACATTTTTTTACTAACAAAGAATATTGGTCGACTCCTAGATTTCAGTGTTACTCTAAATTTCAGGAAATCGTGAAGAATAAAGAAAAATGCTGAACTTGAATTGGTGTTTCAAATTATGCTCCAAAAACACTGGATCTCACATTGTCCCATTGTGGATCTGGTTCTATTGAACCTTTCTGTTTAGTCTCTTTCAAAGTCTCCTATTTCTGGTGCAACCGTTCTATGAAGACATTTATAGTCTGTAAGTTTAGACAACCCATGTCAAGTTGACTAGTAATTGGTGAAGTGCTCTTTTAAGCGTGTATGGAGAACCTTGAAGGTCTGACACATGTGTTGTATTGACAGTAAACCACATCCAGTATCATGTTAGTGGGGAGTAGTTGACCCTTTATGGCCACCATTGCACCTGCTGCAGCCATGACATGACGGTACATCTTATGGAAAGTCCTTGGGATAACGCCATACCATGTAGAAACACAGTTCATAGAAACCTAACCCATGTCTGTCCTCTGCAGCTGATCAGCGATGGCAGCGTGGTGTACGCCGAAGCCCTCTGGGACCATGTCACCATGGACGACCAGGAGCTGGGCTTCAAGGCCGGCGATGTCATTGAAGTAGTGGATGCCACCAACAAGGAGTGGTGGTGGGGCCGCATAATGGACAGCGAGGGCTGGTTCCCTGCCAGCTTTGTACGGGTAAGAGAAACCGTCCAGACTGCTGGAAGATAGAAATGATCAACTACACAGCGTTTACTGTTGTTATCTGTTGTTGCATTGGTCGTCTGACTAAGATAAAGCCTCAAACTGCAGAAATATTTCTGTAATCTGCAGAATTAGGGCTCTTTTTATAGTGGATCCTGATTAACACATGGCACATAATAAGCACACTGTGTTCATGCACAAAGGCCTAAAGCAGGGGTCTCCAACTCCAGTCCTCGAGGGCCGCAATCCTGGAAGTTTTAGATGTTTCCTTCTTCCAACACACCTGATTCACATGATCAGGATCGTTATCAGGCTTCTGCAGAGCTTGATGATGAGCTGATCATTTGAATCAGGTGTGTTGGAAGAAGGAAACATCTAAAACTTGCAGGATTGCGGCCCTCGAGGACTGGAGTTGGAGACCCCTGGCCTAAAGTAAGAACACAGGATAGGACAGTGGGATTTTTGTAAACAGGCAGTTATATTGGGGAAAGAATTACGATTCTTCCTGAGGTTTCAACTGTATTCTCTGTGTTGTCTTCAGTTGCGTGTGAACCAGGATGAGCCCATCGAGGAGTATCTGGCCCACCCGGAGGAGGCCCAGACAGGAGAGGAGGACCGGGCGAGTCTGGGCCTGTTGTTGGGACCCGGTTTACCCTGCAAAGAGCAGATGAGAACCAATGTCATCAACGAGATCATGAGCACAGAGAGAGACTACATCAAACACCTGAAAGACATCTGTGAGGTCTGGATCCGTCTTGTGTAGACATCCATCCATCCATCCATCCATCCATCCATCCATCCATCCATCCATCCATCCATCCATCCATCCATTATCTATACACTGCGTAATCCTCACTGTGGTCGTAGGGGGGCTGGAGTCTCTCCCAGCTGATGCCATGCAGCCCTTTAGCCAATTAAGAATCACAAATTAACCTACAATGCATGTCCCGTGGACAGTTTTTATTTTTTAAAATACTTTCTTTATATTTGTTGTTCTCTTTGCTAAATAAAAATGCAAAAAAACCTGGATTTGAAACGTATAGTGGCAAATTCAAGCAGTTGGAGTTCTGACTTTTATTTGTGCTGGAAAAGAGTGTCAAAGATAAATCAACTGATAAAGTATTCTGCTGGTGTGCAACCGTCACGGCATGAATGTGCACATTTTCCTGTTAACTTCACATTTTTAAGACAAGATTCATAGAAGAGGATTTGTCTGCCTGTAGAGAAGAATGTGAGGAACAAATCCACAAATTTGAACCTCCTAGACCTCCAGTTTTTAAGTTTTTTCTACAGCTACAGATCCCACCGTCACAGGCACTCATTTATTTTGGTAGTATTTGTGACAAACCAAAGAAAAGCTGAAGAACTAATGAAGCAATGTGCAAAACGTTTTCATAAAGCTTCTCTAACAACAGATGAAAAGAAACAGCAGTGACTTGAATTTGATCAGTGACACATTTCTGCTATTGTGCAGGTGAATCAGCTCATACTGTTATATCTGGAGAGCTGATTATATCAGACAAATAAACTTCAGTGCAATGAGAGAAAAAAAACTAATCTTAAATTGCTGAGAGCAGAGGAATGCTATTTCTTTGGAGCTAAATTTAGGAAAGTATGAGAAAATGCTCAAAGTCTTATATTGATGTTAGATGGAGCTCAGTCATGTCCAGAAGAAATAGGCTGCATGAAGCTGCTTCATTTTCAGTGTTATTTTTCTCTGGATAATGTTATGTGGTGCAGCTTGGTTGTCATTCTCGCTGTGGAAGGCATGAGTCGTCTCTCAGATGATGCATTCTGTGGCAATGTAGAAGGTAACAGACTCACCAGAATGCTGTGTTGTTTGGACATGATTTCTTACGAAGGCATTTGGATAAAGTGTAAGATAATGGAGCCGACAGACTAAAGCACGAACCAGGCGGTCTGAAATGTTATGAGATGAACTCCTTTATGCACTTGTTCAGATGTGACTGACTTACTGTCATAACCACCCTGATTAAATATTACGTTTAATTGGAAAACAACCCGAGAATGAAAATCAAGCAAACTGAGCAACACCTACACATTAAAGTACTAGAACATACAGGGAGACAAAAAGTTCTGGATAACTGGCTCAGAGAGTATTTGTACATACCTCCAACAGCGCTCCACTGAACATTAAATGTTTAGCATAAATCCCCATGTGTATGTTCCTGTCTGTACCTTGTGTGTGACGGATAGTTAGATGCATTTGTTCTGTCTTGTCCCTCAGGGTTACATCAAACAGTGCCGCAAGAGGACAGACATGTTCAACGAGGAGCAGCTTCGCACCATCTTTGGCAACATTGAAGACATCTACCGGTTTCAGAGAAAGTTCCTGAAAGGCCTGGAGAAGAGGTTCAACAAGGAGCAGCCGCACCTCAGTGAGATCGGCTGCTGCTTCCTCGAACATGTAAGCTGAGTTGTGGATTCCACAGAACTCGTAAACAGCTTGTGGAGTTCAGATTTTCAGAATTTCAACATGATGCTGTGGATTTGACAAGAAAAACTGTAAGGAATGGCACAGACTAGTTAATAGTGTCAACTTGTCACAGTCTCTTTATTTTTTCTTTTGTTTTTAGAAGAAATCCAGCTGATTATAAAGTCCATTAATGTAGATGGTGCAGAAGGTACTTAGAGAACTGTGAGGGAACACTTTTTACCCAAACTGTTCTGCTGTCTCTAACTCTTTCTGTTCTTATTTTACGCACAGCAAACAGATTTCCAGATTTATTCCGAGTACTGCAACAACCACCCCAACGCCTGCGTCCAGCTCTCCAAGCTGATGAAGGTCAACAAGTACGTGTTCTTCTTCGAGGCCTGCCGACTTCTCCAGAAGATGATCGACATTTCTCTGGATGGCTTCCTGCTCACTCCAGTTCAGAAGATCTGCAAATACCCGTTGCAGCTGGCTGAGCTGCTCAAATACACCAACCCACAGCACAGGTGAGTGCAAACACTCACAGGGAGACGCTTCAGGAGATCCACTGGTGCGTGGAGGTTCTGGTGACGTCTATGACTTCCTCAAGAGACGCGTCTGATCCCATTCTGTATAAACAGATGCAATCAATGTCCATGATTTTGAGTTAAGGAGTGTTTTATTTGTGTTTGTTTTTACCTTGAAGTGGTCGTTTGACACAAACATTCACTGTGATTGAATAAAATATACAGCATGTCACAAAAGTGAAAATGTCCAAATTGGGCCCAAAGCATCCAGATGTTGTGTGGCCACCATTCGCCTTAACCCTCTTGGCCATGGAGCCATGACCAGAGCTCCACAGGTGGCCACTGGAATCCTCCTCCACTCCTCCATGATGACATCACGGAGCTGGTGGACGTTAGAGACCTTGTGCTCCTCCACCTTCTGTTAGAGGATGCCCCGCAGATGCTCAGTCGGGTTTAGATCTGGAGACATGCTCGGCCGGTCCATCATGTTCACCCTCAACTTCTTTATCAAGGCTGTAGTTGTCTTGGAGATGTGTTCGGGGTCGTTGTCATGTTGGAATACCACCATGTGGCCCAGTGTCTGAAGGGAGGGGATCATGCTCTGCTTCAGAAAGTCACAGTACATGTTGGCGTTCATGGTTTCCTCAGTGAACTGTAGCTCCCCGAGCCGGCAGCGCTCATGTCATGTCATGAATTACTGGAGGCACCAACAGAAGGGAGGTCACTCTTCACTGTGGTGTGTCAACCGATGCAACAGAGGGGCTCAGTGATGTGCTTTTAAAGTTTCTGGTCAACAATAAAGTTCTGTAGTCTACAGGAATACTTGAGGCTTTGATACTCAATATTTGCCAACAGGATGGAGTCAGTGTTGGTTTTAAACTTTTGTGACTCCAAGAATGTACATCCACAAATGTCCTGTTTTCATCTGTACACCTCACCTGCATGTAACGCTCTGATCTTTAGAGATTACCAAGATGTGGAGGCAGCCTTAAATGCCATGAAGAACGTGGCAAGACTGATCAACGAGAGGAAACGACGCCTTGAGAACATCGACAAGATCGCCCAGTGGCAGAGCTCCATAGAGGATTGGGAGGTATTTCATGAAACCTCTCTGTCCTCCAGTTGTCTCGCACTTATTATTGCCTGATACAGCAGCAGTAAGTCTCAGTGGTAACAACTGTGTGTGTGTGTGTGTGTGTGTGTGTTTTGATCCGTGCAGGGTGAGGACGTCCTCAGCAGAAGCTCTGATCTCATATTTTCGGGGGAGTTGACCAAACTGTCCCAGCCTCAGGCGAAGAGTCAGCAGAGAATGTTCTTCCTCTTTGACCATCAGATGATGTACTGCAAAAAGGTGCCTCAGCATTTTGAGCTGATCAATACTATTAATAGCGTACTAGAACATTTAAAGTCCACATACTGCAACTGAATAGAATGAATGATATTAAACAAAGCAGCCATGTTGGCTCCTGCTCAGTTCTTGCACTGATCAGAGGAGTTCTGAGCTAAACTTGCCGTCCTCATCGCTGCAGGACCTCCTGCGTCGGGACATGCTGTACTACAAGGGCCGGATGGACATGGACCACATGGAGGTGATCGACATGGAGGACGGGAAGGAGAAGGACTTTAACATCACCGTTAAGAATGCCCTGAAGCTGCGGTCGCTGGCTGGCGATGAAGTCCACCTCCTGTGTGCCAAGAAGCCCGAGCAGAAACAGCGCTGGCTCCGAGCCTTCGCCGATGAGAGGAGGCAGGTCCAGCATGACCGCGAGACAGGTCAGATAATCTGGCTTCATGCATGAAAACAAGCACTGTTGTTAGTCTTTTCATCAGGCAGTCCGTTACGTGGTCATCAGGAGTCAAACCGATGATCTTTTGGTGAGCTGACAGTGTCTTTAAAACCTCTCAGCCTCACAAACTTTTCATAAAAAGTCATAAAATGGAAAATCTTTCGTGTAGATCAAAGGTTACAGCTCTGATTTAGAAAGATGAAAGTGGCTGAACAGAGTACAATGGTTCAGACGTGCTGCCCTGTCTTAAGTGTTTGCTAATTCATTCCCTGGTTCAGTGATTAACTCCAACTGGATTCATGTCTAAGAAAAACCTTCCATCGTATTTTGAATCTGCTTCTCTGAATGCTTCCTGTTTAGAAGTCTTTCAGTGAATGGATAACTGTTTACTGAGACAGCTCCTTTTTTCCTGTGTTTGTCTTCTCAGGTTTCTCTCTCACAGAGGTCCAGAAGAAACAGGCCATGCTAAATGCCTGCAAAAGCCATCAAGCTGGGAAACCCAAAGGTATGCACACAGAGCAGAAAGCTACCTGAGTGTGTGTGTGTGGGGACATCAGGATTTAGCGATTTACATCAATAACAGCAACAAACAGGACAGACAGAATAAGTCTGAGCAGTGCACAGCTAACATCAACATAAAGCAAACAGCTAAATCAGTGGGATTATGAAGCATTTCAACCGTCTCCTCGGTCGACCCTGTCAGTCTTTAAACATGTTCAGAGGTACTGACAGGTAGAGAACAGTGGGATCAGTTAGTGAAGGACAATCGTATCGCTGTTTTAATAAAAGAAAACGAGAGCAGCAGGAGAAACGTGAGCCATGATGCTAACAGTAGAGTCGGTGCCATATCACTGGAATGTCAAACGACTGAAAGCTGTTTTATATCACAGTAATTGCATTAAGTGGAGCGGTAGGGTATTCTGTCTGATGTAAAATTAAAAACTAATAGTTTATGTTTACCGTATCCAAACATACAGGCCCGACACTGGGAACTCAACCAAAGTCAGGACACTTTTCATGACTGACGTTCAGATCTTTTATGTTTTTCAGTACTTTCTATGTCCTCTGTTATTACAGACGACAGACACAAACCTCCTCGGCGTGGACGATACCGGTGCTGAACACATGTCTGGACAAATGTTCTGCCATTCTTCTACACCAGAGATCTCCAGCTCCGGTCCTCCTGAGCTACTGTCCTGCAGGTTTAAGACGTTACTGAAACACACCTGACTCACATTAATGGATCTCCAACAGCTTGTTGTCAAGTTCTACACAAGTCTGTTAATGATCCATTAATGTGAGTCAGGTGTGTTGAAGTAACGTCTAAAACCTGCAGGACAGAAGCTCAGGAGGACCGGAGCTGGAGATCCCTGTTCTACGCTATTATCTTGAGCTGCCCTTTGCCGAAGAGGTTGTGATGCTCTACCGTTCTCTTTAAAATACGCCAAAGGTGTTCTGTTAAATTCAAGTAGGGTTACACATTTGACCAGATTATAGTTTCATTTATGTGCTTCTGCAGACTGGGAGTCATCTCGTCAGCCAGTATTTCTATATATCCACAGGCATATACTCTATCCCTAACAGAGTTTGGTCTTCAGCAGTGTGGTGGTGCAGAACTGTCGCCTCACAACTAGAAGGTCCTCAGTTTAAATCTTGGCCGAGACCTTTCTGTGTGGAGCTGTACCATTTCATTAAGTGCTCCAGCTTCCTTCCACAGTTCAAAGACATGCTGAGGTTAACTGGTAATTTTAAACTGGCCATTTAAACCTGTGCAGTGTCTGAAGCGCTTCCATCTTTCTTTTTCACAGCTAGTTTATGCAGTAGTGGTTCTGCTACTTTACTCTATAGCTCCGGATTAGCGCTGCAGCTGTGTTTGTCACTGTCAGAGCCCCGCTTCGGCCCATGCCAGACTCCCTATCCTGTCACTGTGGTCCTCTGGACCTGATCACAGCTACCGGAGACAGCTGTGGCAATCAGCTCACCTGAGTCTAATCAGCAACAAACAGCTCGTTCCTTCTCTTGGCGCCAGGTCACTAGCCGTCCATCAACCCGTCTCCTGCTTGCACCGGCAGTTTTGGTTTCATTTTGTTTACTGGTTCAGTTATTTAGTATTTTTCCTGTAGTTTGTTTAGCTTGTTTGTTAGTTTCCCTTTTTCATTATTAGATTATTAATTCCTTGTTCAGTTTCCGTGGAGTTCTGTTTATTATTCTGTTCCATCCATTCATTCATGAATTCCCTTCGTGACAGTCACCGACCTTTCTGTACCTTTTTCCGCCAGTAAAGAACCACTTTGACATGCACATAGACGCAGCTCATAGGTCTAAAACCCAGCAGGTTCTGGTGTTCACAGCTCGTTTTAGAGCCACGTATATGAGGTCGGGCTGATTGGAAATCACTGCTGGTCTGAATTGTGCTGAAACAATCACAGGCTTTCAAACATGTGTTTGTGATGCTGAGTTTCTGCTTTGGGGCCTTTATTTTCAATATAGTCTCACTAAAGTGTTGGATTTTGATTGTTCATGAGAGGAAATAATGCAGCTACTGAGAGGAAATTGAATAAATATTTCTACTCTGTGGCACAGGGGTGTACTCACCTTTGCTTTAAAGATCTTTAATCGCAGCAGAACTTGTTCCATTGGTTTACGTTGGACCAGCTGTTTATTTTATACAGTAAATACGTTTATCTTCTCACATGAACACCACAGCGCTGATATGTTGTGTCATCTGTCCTCAGCGTTGACCAGACCCTACTACGACTTCCTGCTGCGACAGAAACACCCCTCCCTTCCCACCGCTTTGCCACAGCAACAGGTCTTCATGCTGGCCGAGCCCAAGCGCAAAACCTCCACCTTCTGGCACAACATTGGCAGACTGACACCTTTCAAGAAGTAGAAAGAAAATTAAAAAAGGAAAAGAAGAGCTGTGGAGAGAGAGAGAGAGGGAAGAGGAAGAGGAGGAGGAGAAAGAGAAGAGCTCGCTGCTCGTGCCTGAATAGACCCTTTTGGAATCTTCTCTTTTCTTTCCTACTTGTACCATTGCCCATATTGATACGGTGATTTATTGTATAGATGAAAATGATTATGATGATGATGATGATGAGGAGGAGGAGATTATTTTTTGAAAGCACTTTATAGGTTGGTTAACAATCAGACTTGAGAATGGTCTCCTGGAGAGTCAAACTGGGAGAGTGGACTCTTGATTACCTTACTGCTATTACATCTCCAATCGAGCGCCAACTGGTACTAATACTACTACTGTACTGCTGCAAGCGAGCGTGGGACTCCTGGCTGCGCTGCCTCTGTGAAGACATTGCCTGTCGACGAAATCGTGTAGTTTATTTCCACTGTTCTGTTGTTTTATTATTTGACAGATGCCAACTGTTCATAGTGCCAGATGATTTGTTTTTATATTCGTTTGTTCTGTGTGTGCTTATGGAAAAAAAAAAAAAAGGGAACATTGGGGGTCAAATTTCTAGTGCTTTTCTATGTGTAAATATATAATTTCAGGATCATTTCAGCTTTGATTTTAAACATTTTGTGATCTCCATCCAGCCCCCGAATTGGTTCTGTGTTTCTCTGGTGCATTTACTGTATTGTGCAAACACTTGACAGACGACATCGACAGCAGCCCAAAGAAGACTCCACTCATCTCGCGTTAGGAGCTTTTTATTCAGATAGCAGCGACCCACACATCCCAGCAACACACATTCCTCGAGTCTGATCCTCGACTCCTCCTGATGCCTACCATGCCAATGAAAGTAAACATCCTGCTCTTTGTTTCCTTTCTCTTTTTTCGCGTTCCGTTCCGTTTTGTTTTTTGAAGTGCCATTTGAAGTGTGTCATGGACGACTTACAATGACATGCATGGATGTGATGAAAACATACTGTGAAGAATATTTTTTATATCTGATGAACCCTGCTATATTTAACCAGAAGTGAGGTTTCATGTGCTACTAGGCTGACACACACACACACACACACACATACACACACACACACGTGTTATTTTATCTACCTGTACTTCTGATATCCAGTATTCCTGCTATGTGTATCTGGTTTCCAATATAATCTAATTTCAGATTAATGCAGCCCAGTGATATCAATGAAATGTACTCCTTTCACCTTTATGTTGAAATGTTTTAGCTTCTGACAATATTAAACATTCCTAAGCTGACAAATGTGGCTGTCAGTCAGGCTGGTTCTTCTATTTCACACTTGAGCGTTGGACACGTGAGCAGCTGCAGCTTTAACTCTCAGATTAAATCAACGGCGTGCAAGTTTCAGCTCTTTAAAGGACCAGGCCGGTGTTTTTGCAAGTTCAAGACCCTGAACTACAAAACCTTGTGTTAGTATTTTTAATGCTTTTGCTGACAGTTGTCCAAAGCATGGGCTGCAAGGTGTCTCAGTGGTTAGCACCGTCGCCTCACAGCTAGAAGGTCGCCAGTTGGCCGGGATCTTTCTGTGTGGAGTCTCCATGTTCTCCCCGTGCAGCGTGGGTTCTCTCCGGGTTCTCCGGCTTCCTCCCACAGTCCAGAAACATGCTGAGGTTAATTGGTGATTCTAAATTGTCCGTAGACTGGTTACCTGTCCAGGTGAACCTGCCTTCACCCTGAGTCAGCTGGGATAGGCTCCGCCCCCCATGACCCTGGTGAGGATGAAGGTGTAGAGATGATGGATGGATGGATGTAGCTACATTGCAGTTTGATTGAGTTTTTGACGTGCGACCATCAGCTATCTAGAACAGTATTAAGTTGATTTCTACTTTCCAAAGGGACATGCAGAAAAGTGTCCAAGGCTAATTGGTTGATCATTATTATTCATTTTACTGGACTGATGCATTCACAAAGTGTTTGGGAAACCAGGTCCAGACGGAGGAAGAGTCCTCATGTTCTGTGCTTGCACATAAATGGTGACGACAGGAGGATGGTGTCCAATGGGGGAAGTCTACGGAAAGGAATGTTCCGCGGTTGTTGTAGGCGGCTGTGGCTCAGGTAGAGCAGTTGTCCTCTGTTTCTAAGGTGGCAGTTTGGCAAAGATTACTAACAAATAGTCTAAAGTACTTATACACCGGAACAAAACATTTTAATTTTGCTCAGTGTGGATACAAGCAGTGGAGGACAGCTGTAGACATCAGAATGAACTGACCTACCTAACAACACACATCTCATTTACAACCCTAGATACAAACAGTTCTGTGTACGTCCATGTCTCTGTGGACAGGCTGCTACTTCTGCCATCTGTGCATCTGGGCGTATTGAGCAGCATAAGACTGCCTGGTGGTGTGCTGTCCGTCCTCTGTTTCTGATCCAGAGTCCTCTTCTTCTTCCTCCTCCTCGTCCTCTTCTTCCTGCTCCGGCGTCTCTTCCACAGCTCTCTGGTGCTGGAAGGTGTTCCGAGACTACAGATAAAACACACTCAGAAATTGCTCAGAGCGTCATTTTAGTTTTTCTAATTCTGAGATTATGACAACAAAAGTAAAGTGCTCACCCTCCTGTGCTGTTGTCTGTGGCTTTGACTTGTGGTGGAGGCCAGCGCTGATCTGAGACTTTGGGATTTTAGGGAGGCTGGAGGAGGACTGGGGTAGTGACTTATGGGGGAAGAGGAGCTGCTGTTCAGAGTCGTGCCCAGAGGTCCTGTCATGGAGTCGGACATCTTGATTCGTCCACTGAACAGCTGTGGAGACAGGAACATAATTACTCCTAAAACAGGGCTTCAAGCGTTAAAACGAATTAGTTTTTACCATTTTATTTTACAGGCATACATCCATACTTTACGTTAGACCAATCATACCCTAAACACTGCCAAAAATCTCATTCCCAGTCATTTTTGTTATAATAAACAGTAAATAACAAAGCAGGAACTTGTCTTTCTGCGTAGGATCAGCAGAACTAATGGAAACATATAGAGACTGAACAAGAGGGGTCCCAGGATCGACCCCTGAGGAACCCCACAGGTCACGGCCATTCGGTCTGAGACACAGCTACCAATCTCAACAAAATACGTCCTGTTCTCCAGATAGTCACTATGTCAATTTCTGTTTGTTGCTGAGCAGGACGTGTTAAATGTCTCTACAGGTTGTTGTTTTAAGCGTTATCATCTGTATCAAGCTACCTGCAGATCCTTTTCGGTGTCCATTGCCTCCAGGTTCTGGTATGTGTGTGTGTAGACCTCCAGCGCTTTAGCATGGAAGAGCATCTCCACCGTGATGAAGTCTGTGAAGATCCTCTGACAAAAAAAACAAAGCAATCATGTTGTCACTCAAACACTGATGCATACAGCATGTATGGACGTATGAGACTGACTTTGATATCCTCCAGTTTCTGTCTCTGGAAGTCAGTAATCGTCTCCTCGAGCTGTCTGATGCTGCGCTGGGCGTTGTTGGAAGCCTTCTGGGCGTTTACTTCTGCCTGTTGATGAACAAATGCACAGTAAAAAGTAGACACTGTTGTTTAAAATATGCTGTTTAAATGGCTTGATCTGACACTTAAGCTCACGGTGGGGCTCAGTGATGGGATGACATGAGATAACCAGAACATCAGCTACCTGAGACTGAGAGGTCTGGTCAAGGAAATATTCTCAAGTAGAATCATGTGCAAGTTTAAAACATTTGAGGGTATTTACACAAATGGGTTTTTTTGTATTTTTCCTAATAAGATCCACAGACATCTAAAGGCCCCCCCAGCAGCTCTCTGTGGCCCCCTAGTGGGCCGTGGCCCCCCTGTTGAGAACCACCGGTCTACATCTCCAAAGCTGCTGTATGTACATCTTTCAATATATATAAGGCATGGCCTCTTGACCTACAGTGAGCCATTAGGATTGACTGTAGCTGGTGTGGTGTGTTTAGACTCTGCAAGTCTGAACCTGGAGGAGCCGCTGGAACCTCATCATGATATGCAAGGTCTTTGTAAGTGTATGTAAGGTATTTTTCACAACAATAGTTTACATTTTTAATGAATCTGAGGTCATGAGAAGAGTCAGTGAGGGAGGATACAATGCTCTGTCGGTCCGCTGGATCCCTCAGACGTATTTTCTCCAGTTGCCGCAGCTGTTTCATCTCCCTCTTCAGGTCAGCGTTGAACTTCTTCAGATCAGTCTGAAAGGTAGGTTTTAAGAAATGTATCTACTGGTTAGCAGGTTGGCCACCATTTAAAATAGAAGGAGAGATGCTGAGAAGTTCACCCGTGGGCCACATTATTAATAACTTTAACTCTGAAAGTTCATGTGTGAGAGAATCATTTATGTAACTACAATAACTTATAGTGTAATAAAATATGTTGTCATTGGGCTACCCAGTGTGTGAACTCATCTACGTTATGTCACAAAAGTGAGACGATTTTCCATCCATCCATCATCTCTACACCTTCATCCTCACCAGGGTCATGGGGGGCGGAGCCTATCCCAGCTGACTCAGGGTGAAGGCAGGTTCACCTGGACAGGTAACCAGTCTATCACAGGGCTACACTTAGAGACAGACAACCAAGTACACTCACATTTACACCTACGGACAATTTACAATCACCAATTAACCTCAGCATGTTTCTGGACTGTGGGAGGAAGCCGGAGAACCCGGAGAGAACCCACGCTGCACGGCGACCTTCTAGCTGTGAGGCGCTAACGGTGCTAACCACCGAGACACCTGCAGCCCCTGAGACAATATTTTCTATTTTTAACGTTTGTGGCCTCTTTTTGTCAGAGCATTGTTTACCACTACATGTAAAACGGTTAAATTCTTTAAAGATTTGAATGAGAATGATTTCAGTGCACAAATTGTTTTGCATTTACAGGATGTACAAATATTTTATTAGATCTTTTCACTGAAGAAATGACACTTTGCTGCCATGTAAAGTCGTCAGTGTGCAGCTTGTACATTTACTGTCCCCTCAAAATAACTCAACACACAGTCATTAATGTCTAAACGACTGGCAACAGAAGTGAATACGCCCCGAAGTGAAAATGTCCAAACTGGGCCCAGTTTGCCATTTTCCCTCCCCGGTGTCATGTGACTATTAACACATCTCCCACTGTACTTTAAAAATGTTTGTGCAGTGACAGGACTGCTGCTATTTTTGTTGTAAACTGTGAATGACAATAAAGGAACTCTAGTCTACTTTCTATTCTATTTAAAAAAATAGACCATTTCTATTCACATGAGTTATTTTTTCTGATGTAACACCAACTAGAGTTCCTTTTAAATCCATTCACGGTGTTTCTTTTAGAGTTATTCAGCCCTGAAAGTTAGTTTCATTTCAGCTCATCAACATCTTCATCACAAAAACAACTCTGAGCTGCAGAAACGTAGGATCTACAATATGCAGAAGTATTTCACATTTCATTTTGAAAGAAGGAGGGTGTGAGGAATAAGTTTTGATCTGGATTAACGTCTCCACAGAACAGTCAACTGACATTAGCTTCCTTTAGATACATCAGTATGTCACACATGTACAACCAAACTCACCCTTTTGTTCTTGACGATATCTCCGTAGGCTTTGAGAGGACGAATAACTCTGGTCTCCAGTCTTTCTACCTGCAGCAGTAAAGCGTTTATCAGGACAACGATCACATGCAGAAGACATACAACACACTCATGCATGGACATGTGCAGGGTTTCTGACCTCAGCCTGCCTGTAGTCCTGCACCATGGCGAGGTCTTCTGCTAGGTTCTTCAGGCCAAGCTGAAGCTCAGGGTCCTCTGTCCTGCAGAAGTCAAAGAGCCGAGCCACCAGCAGGTCGGCCTTGTCCCTGAGCTTGGCTGTTTTCCTGGTGTAGGAGGCCAGCAGGGAGCAGATCTCACCCAGGTGCTTCTCAGCGTGCACCACAGTCTGCTCCATCGTCTTCACCTGAAGATCCCTGCTGGGACACATAAAAAATGGACAAGGACATGTAGCCGTGTAGCACGTTCAGAATAACCGAGCTTAGCATCCCCAAGCCTACAGAGTTAAACAGCCTCAGCAATGTTGTCTCTGGATGATGTGAAGCATCAGAACATTACCTGGAGAAGAGGTTGTTCATGTTTGATCTGTCGTTCTCACCACAGTTCTTCAGCTTCCTCCTTAGTCTCACGAGTGTCAACTGTTGCCATGGAAGCACCGACAACAGATGGTGGGAGTGGCTGAAGTGTCCGCGTTTCTCCACACGATGGCAGCAGAGCGTTGTTTTATGGTCGTCTACTGAAAAAGAGTTTTTCTGTGTACATCTGTCAGACTTTTCATTTCCCAGTTTGTTCACATTTAGTCCCTCTTTAGGTCCTGATTCCTCCCACCAGCCATGTGAACAGTGGAGGCAAAGAGGAGCTACAAAGAGAGAGGAGTTGAACAAAATGAGACATATTGGCTTTGCTAAACATGACAACACATGTCAATCATTTTATTATCATTTTCACATTTACTAATTAAATTTTCTGGTAATATGATCTGAAAAAAATTGAAACAATTCATGAAAACACACATAAAAATAAACATAATGTGTTGCTGTATTTATACCCCACAAAAGTAAAAGTGTCTCCAACAAGCATGTCATTGTTATTACAGCTTTACTCTGTTCTACTGCGCATTTATTTCAGATGTCACGTCATAGAAACACCTGAACTCAGCGGGTTTAAGAGTCCGTCATTATGCCAAGTATCAGGAAGCTGTGAGACAGTGCACATCCGTCACAGGTCCGATTTTCTCTGATGGGCCGTGAAGGCAGCAGAAGCCCCGCCCCCTGAGGACCCACTCAGCATCAATGGTGGCAGAAGACAGAGACTCAGTCAGGTGGAGGTGGAGGTAAGACCAAAAACTTTAACTCACATGAGCTGCATTTCTTAAAATGTCCTACAGCTGTGTGGAAGCAGAAATAAGTTCTGATAGGAGACATTCTGTTCAGCACACAGCCTATAAAAACTTTACCAGAGACCTATATCATATCATATATGTGGATTTTTATTACACAGTGGATTTAGATGACTATATAACTATAACTAAGATGGGCTTTTAATTTCAAAATATTGTTTTTGTCATTTTAAAAATGCAAAATAGACTTTGCATTATTTAATTTCCCTGTATTTTTAGTTTATTTTATTTTTATTTTTAAAGCAAACTAATGACATTATTTTATTTGTCTCACATCAGAGCGGTTTATGTACAAAGCTGTCAGTTATCAGTTTCTTTCCAGACAAAAGCTGAACTTTTAATTTCTTATGAAGCTTTTTGCTCTGAGCTGGAGTTCTGTTGGCTGAGAGCCGGTTGGATCCGCCCTGATCTGTGCTCTGCTGATTATAGTTTGAATGACAGTGTGTCAGAGAAACTGTCAGCCGGTGACTCAGCTGCACAGCGAAGGCCCACATTTATACCCAAAGTCTGCCTCAGAGTTTGTTCGTTTTCCCAGATCATGCTGTGTTACTGATATCTTACAACGTCTGTATTAATGTGTGTTGATATTTTATTGATTGTTTTGTTAGGTTTAGCATTTTTCACTGAATTGGAAAAGAAAATGAGTTATTTCCATCCTTGTAACAGCCAGTGTCCAGAACGAAAGCATTAATTTGAATACTTTAATTTTACTGATTATACTTTTCATACAGAGGCACAGTGATATTCAGAATACCAAGATATTTTCTACATTGGATTTGTCCAAATAGGAGACGTGATCACACTAAACCTGTATGAATATCACATCATTATCAAATTAAATTAATGAAGTGCAGCATTGAAGACATACATCTTCATATAGAGTAAATAAAAACCATCATTTTAGAATGATGTGCTACGTTAGCTGTTGTAACCCTGTCTCATAGAAAGGACATTCCTATAAAACTGAATTACTTTCTGGAGTATCTACAAATCTAAAAAAAACAAAAACCCAAAAGGTTCCCATCTGGCCCCATTAGAATGAATTGTTTTAGAGAAATCCAACGATGTCAGAAAGCTAAATGTGTGAACAAACCACCGTTGTTTTGATTTTTGGTTCTTTTGAAGCACATCCTGCAGGCATCAGAGATGCTGTGTTCATCCTTTCTGCTGGCGCTGCTGACTGTGAACTCAGTCACAGGCTACAGTAATGGGAAGGTGGGTGCTGCCTGTGGAGACATGGTCCCTCAGCATGGCTACGAGCCCAGCCCGGACCCGTCCCCGTACAACGTCACTGTGGATAAATCCACGTTCAGCCCTGGTGACCGCATCACAGGTACGTCACCACGATCTGGTTCTACAGTCCACTAACACGTTATCGCTTCTGTTCGGTGACACACGTCTGATTTCTCATCCACATATTCATCGACAGTGTCTTTACAAGTGGTCTCCTCTGACCCCACGTTCTTCAAGGGGTTCTTGATAGAAGCTCGGGATGCTGGGAAATTAAACTCCCCGGCGGTGGGATCCTTCACCCTGACTGACCCTCATGAGTCTCGACTTCTACAGTGTGGACACACTCAGGCAGGTGTCACTGTGCCCAGGATGTCTTGGATTTGGTGTATAAGCACCGTTTCTATCAGCACAACAGTCATGTCGTACTTGCTGCTTTTTAATCACAGATAGTTATACAGACAGAGATTACTACATCTTCATTAGAACCCATCTCTTAATGGGTTCTTGTGTCCTGTGGTTATTGTTTGAACATCAGCTCATGGTAGCTGCATGCTCATACACACAATACAACAAATTATGGATAAAACAGCGAATAAAATCTACTGATGCCTTGTTTTTATTAAAATTAATCCGGCTAAACATACTTAGCCTGCCACCCATATTGACTATTCGCCAAATGTGATGTGATTCATCTCTGAGATTCTTAGACAAGCTGAGCAAAACATTCCCTCGTCTGACTGAACTGGTTGTTGTGTTTTCGTTCTTTTATTGTGTGATGTTGTGAGTCTCTGTCATCTGTAGAGGTCTGCAGTGAGCCACAGGAGAAGTTCAACAAAGACTCATGTTCAAGCTGTGTGGGAGTCTCCAGAAGATCCTCCACAGAGAGTCCAGTTCCTGTGAGTACTCAAGACACTTAAAGCCATGCTCGAGTGCTCGGTTACATTAATTATTATAGACAGACTCATTTAATTTTGACTCCCAAAAGCTTGTAATTCGAGGTGTGTCAGAAAAGTTGGGATCTCAAACTGACAATCTAGTCTGTCAAACAGTATTTCACTGTGAGTCATACGTGAGTATCTCAGTGCATTTGTGGTATGTTGCTGCAGTGTGACGGTGGTGCAGCACTATGAGGTGTACTGGGTGAGGACTGCAGGCCCGGTGGTCCGTCTGAGAGGAGCCACTGCTGCTCCATCCACTGCTGCTCCATCCTCTGATGCTCCATCCTCTGATGCTCCATCCTCTGATGCTCCATCCACTGCTCCTCCATCCTCTGCTGCTCCTGTCCAGACTACCAGCCCCACTGCTCTGTCTGCACCGGTGAGGTTTTAAAATGTTGTATTTAGTGTCATGTGATGTGCGCTATTTTCATATTGGCTCATGGTTACACATTAGAAATAGTCACATCAGAAAACTATATCAGGCATGTGTAGAGTTATTCAGCCTATTTTTAGTTGGACCTGAGCAGAAACAGGTGTAACTGGTGGATTTCACCGTATGTTTGAGGTATCGAGTGTGATCATGTTGTGTCGAGCATCCCAGCGGGCACTGGGGGGGAACAGATTCATTTTACATTTGTTCCTGCGTCGTCACTAATGAATCAAGTAAATGTGATTGTACGGACGTTGCCCGGGGCTGTGCTCACTGCTGTTGCATCCTCTACAAGTGAGTCTCTTTTTAAAGGAGTAAGAATTTCAGATGTGTAGACAAACTATTACAATTTGTTGACGTGACTACAAATCACTGTTATTATTTACTTGATTTTCATACTAAAGAACTAAATACATGCATGAAACAAAAAAATACTCAACAAAACACATGGGCAGCCTTGAAAAGATGACTTGATCCCATCCCAACATTTCTGATGGTTGGAGGCAGAAAGCATGACATTTATGACCTGTGACCTTTTGTCAGAACTTTATTTGCATCACGAGTACAAAATGTGTTTGTGTGTAATGAAATAAAATGTGTTACCTGGAGATGAATATAAGGACAACTGTGTCCTAAACAGCATTTGCTGAACTTTATTTATGCTTAATGTTAAACACCAATAAGGCTATTATCCACAGTAGTGTTATTTTAAGAATGTCAGCCGAACACTAAACTCTCGTCTTCTTCCTCCTCAGTTTACGTCAGTGGGGTGTGGCCACAGTAAGTCCTGCCTCAGAGACCCGGTGGGCTGTCGGCCCGAGTCGGATCCCGACTGCTTCTTCTTGTCCTTCATCACTGACGCATCAGGCAGCAGCGTGATGTTTGAACTGAGCGGGCCGGCGGACGGTTACGTGTCGTTTGCTCTGTCTCTAGACCGATGGATGGTGAGTTTCATTATGAAGTGTAAACATCTCTTTATTACAAAACCCTGAACAATAACTTCTTTAACCTAAACAGTTACTCACACTGACGTTTGTGGAATAAAAATATGAAATGCTGGAGTGCACCTTTCCGTCTACATTTTCTTTTACTTTATTTATATCATTCATTTTAAAGCATCTTGTCGTACTTTAGATGTTCAAATGTGTCCTTCTTTCTTTCTTCCTGTCAAAATTAATTCAGCTTGGCTTCATGTTTTTATGTACGTGGATGTGAACATGTGTCATGAAACAGCCTGAAGGTGGTCACATGGTCACCTTTAGATGTACAGACTACATCTAAACATACAGATTTAGTTCACAAAAATAACTAAGAATCAGTGTTTTATTATTTATTTATTGTTTTTAAAGGAATTTACGGCGTTTTTACATGAAAGAACATCTGACTACAAATAAAATGGCTACTGACAGAGCAGCTACATGACATCATAATAATAACAATAACTAACAAGAACAAACGTTTTAATTTATGTCATGATGTTTTAGTTTTTAATCACATGACTTAGTTTTGAAATTGTGGTCAATAGTTAATTCCCATATTCTAAGAAGGACTTCCTGGGGATTGTTTAAGACACAGTTAAATTTGGGGACTGAAGAGAGAGGAAGAGTAAATATACGATATGTAAATATTTCTGCCGTTGTAGGGAAACGATGACGTCTATCTCTGTGTGAATGATGGAGACAGAGTCAGCATCAGTGCTGCGTATGTCTCTGGACGAACACATCCTGAGTCGGCAGCAGAGGTAAACATTCACAGCATCATGAACAGCAACAAGTTTTAACAGACAGTTACTCGTCAGTGCTGCTCCCTCTGTTTCCAGGAGACCCTGTGGGGTCGGGCCTGGAGGCTGGCTGATGGGGTCATCCAGTGCCGTTTCCATAGAAACATCATCCAACCTGACAGGTTCAGCTTCAACCAGAGCTACTTCCTGTTTCTGGCACACGGCAGCTCTCACCAAGGTAAGACGGGAGTGACCGTGTGTAGTGATGTCCAGGTTCCAGTAGGTTGTAGGTTTTAAAGATCAAACGAGGTAAAGTGACCACCTCAAGGAATGTGTTACGTAACATCAGGCAAGAAAGAACTTATTTCAGAATGACATCCATTTGTGTTTGCCGGTAACTTGAGTGCTCGAGTCCCTGAGATCACAACCCCCCCCTAGAGAGTCTGAGATTCAGGTTTGTAGATGTTTAGAAGCTGGTGTAGCAGTGATGTGGTGAGTGAGGAGCGGACGGAGTGAATGAACGCTGCCTCGGTTATAAAGCAGATCAGTGGTTGGCTAGTAGTTATCGATTGGACAGAAGAGGCCATGTGACATCCTGATTTGGTGCCTGTCTGAAATAAGCTCCATGGAAGAGAAGGAGAAAAGACCTTCTTCTCAGACTTTTACCACAGGACAGATATGTGACATGCAGTCTATCATTAACCGTCATTTGGCTCCTACAGAATAACCAACCACTTCTCTGCACAAGTTAATTAGTTGGAACTTCTGCCTGTTGATGTAGATGTTGGCTCACCAGGTCTTATTAACCCGACATCATTGTCTTTCTAACTTTCTACAGCTGAACTTTGACTGAAACTGCATGAGGCTGATGATATAAACTGCTTTTCTACACTATCTTATCTAGTTGTTTCATAGTTATTATCATTACAGTCATCTATAGCAGAGCTTCTTAACCTTTCTGATTTAGGGAACCAACTCTTCCTGTACAGTCTGGCCTGGGGCCCACTCAGATATCAACACATTAAGTGATCTTGAAGCTTGGACGACTTCAGAGCTCTGTTAAGCCACATTCCACACACTGCCGTCTGGCCTCTGCCTCAGTGCCTCCGGCCGTACTGGATAAAGTCTGGATTGTACTAACGAACACATTCAGCCCTCTGAGGGGGTCTGTCCTTAGGTTTATCTTTATTTGTACTTTTTAAAAAAACGTCTCCATAACTTGTTGTATTGTTACTTGCTCGTGTCTTCTTCTGCTCTCAAGCGTCCCAAACAAGTGACTGATGTAATACTGCCACCGGTGGTGGGAGGAGATATTGCAACTGACTGTCTCATGGATAACAGCATGCGGCCCTCGAGGCCCACAGGTGCAAAACTAAAAGTCTAAAAGGCCCTATGGTTAAGAATCTGTGATCTATAGTAATTGTGTATGTATAAAACCCTTAAAGGCAACACAATCTGCATGTGGCTGGTTTAGTGGTTTAGTGTGTTGCTGCTCTGCACCATCCAGACTATCAGCTGATGCCGTCCTCTCCCCTCCAGTAAGAAAACTCTCTGTGATTGACAGCATGGGGATGAACTGAGACTGGGACTTCCTGTTACTGTCAGCTTCTCTCTGGGTCTTCATTTGGCATAAAAATATGACCAAATTCACAGCATGATCAGTACTTTTGTTGCTTTTTATTTGTTTGTTTTTTTTGCATGGCGAGTTTTTCAGACGTTCTAAAATCTGTGGTTGAGCTGAGAGATAGAAGTGACCGCTGCTTCACGTGTAGTTTTAATCGGCTGCATTTCAGTCACAACTTCAAATTTATTCCAGCGTTTAACAACAGAAACAAAAAAAAATATGTAAATGAGGACAGTTTTATTGGGAAGGCGGTCGTGTTAAAATGCAAGAAAACAGTTCAAGTTGCATTGAAGTAAAACAAGCAACGAGAAAACACAGTAACACACCATGTCTGAAAGTCCCTAAGCTTTCTACAGAGCTCTGATCTGACCTGTCCCATGATGTTTTAGGTCAGGGGTCTCCAATCCTGGTCCTCGACGGCCACAATCCTGCATGTTTTAGACGTTTCCAACACACCTGATCAGCTCATCATCAAGCTCTGCAGAAGCCTGATAACCATCCTGATCATTTGAATCAGGTGTGTTGGAAGAAGGAAACATCTACAACATGCAGGATTGTGGCTCTCGAGGACCAGGATTGGACACCCCTGTTTTAGGTCATACAAACTGTAGGTCACAAAAACATTCAGGCACCGAGGAGCCTGTCTGACTGTTCATGGAGATGCTTTGAGTGAGGCTGAGGTGGCCGCTGTGGTTCACATTCCAGTTAATGTGCATTTATTTTAGATCCTTGCATGATTCACACTGCTGAGGAACACATTACTTCCTCTTTCACTGCTGCTGGAAAACATTGACACAGCCAGTTGAATATTCTAACTTTAAACTTGATGCATGTGAAACTAAACTGTCTGTAAATGTCGCGCCTCCTCCTGTGTTGTGTAGCAAAACAGCGTCACTTGTGTAGTCTCACACAGAGCATCAAAAGTAAGAATACATGTAACAGCCTGATCTGGCTCAGAGTGAAACTAACGACACTTTATAATTAAAATCGCCTCGTTTAAAGAGGTTAGCGTGAAGAATACGATCTCCTCTTCTCCAGAAGTGTGCCTTTACTCCGAATTGGCGCTCGATGACTATTATCAGGCTCTGGTGGAGGTGGGAGACGTCCTGGTGTCTCTGTAGATGTTGCATTTAGGTGGGAGTTTTGGATCAACCGTCTTCTGAAATGATGTCTGGACTCTCTTTGTGTTGCTTTGTTTGTTCTGCTGCTACAGTCGTCATAACTTTGTCGCTTCAAGGTGTCATCCACAGACACGCTCGCCAGCCTCTTACCTCCACCGGTCAGAAGGTGATTGCTGGACATCCAGAAGATCTCCGTGGCTCCCGGTCTCCTCTGCTCATCAAGCTCCATGGTTTGTTGACATTTGCTAACATATGTGTTCAGTATCTGACTGAAGGCTAAAGTCGTAGTACTTTCAGTTTAGAAAAACACAGTATTTGGTTCGTGTTTGCTCGTTTGCCAGCCATGCAGAAGATGCACAGGATGCATGAAGTGACGTCAGCGCACAGAAAGTTTGGTCAGCAATCCTTGGCAAAGTTCCTACATGCATGTTTGAGGATTTGTGTCATTACATGGGGATGTCCCTTTTGTTTGGCGAAGGAAAAGAGAAGCATTCAGCTCCAAGAAACCCCTCCTTGTGGTCAAGGCCGGTGGAGGGGATGTAGAGTTTAGGGGGAGTTTTTTGCGTGGCAGCCATGTCAAAGCAAACTGTAGGACAATATTATCATTCAGGAGGAAAACAGTGTCCTTGGACAGCTTCCACCATGTCAGTGATCTCAAACCCAAAGAAACGGTTAACAGAAATGATATCAGCGTTTTGGTGTGGCCCAGCCAAAGTCCAGACCTGAATCTATGAGGGGAACCGTGGGCTGAGTAACCCATAAAGCTGAGGTCTTGGCTGGACCCACATCAGTACCTGCGGTCTACCTTCCCAGGTGTGCTGATGCTGACTGCTTGGATGTGGACGACCAGCACGGCCGTCTTCATCGCTCGCCATCGCAAACACTTGTGGCCCGACACGACTCTTCTGGGACAAAAGCTCTGGTTTCAGGTGGGACCAGGACAACACAGAATTCCTCAGTTTGCTGTTTCCAGTCTCTGGATTTAACGCAGTGGTGAGACATTCTTCATCCAGTATTTGAACAGTCCCCCTTTCTCTCCTTTTCTGTGCAGCTCCATCGAACTCTGATGCTCCTGGCTGCTGCCCTGACTGTTGTGGCTTTCACGCTGCCTTTCATATACAGGAGGGGATGGAGCAACGTAAGTCAGTGTTTCTACCCCCTCTGTGCGTCCACCTGCCCCTCCATCTGTCTAACCGGCTCTTTTTAATTTCAAAAGCTTTTTCCTGAGTGTCTTAGTCAGACACTCGTCTCTACGTCGTTCTGTCTTGTTCCTGTATCGGTGGACATCAGACAGGCTGTGTGTCGGGGCGTATGTGCATATAGATTATAAACAAGGTAGAAATCAGCAGCAGTTGCAGATTTTTCTATAAATAAGGAATGATATTGAGGTTTTTCTGACCTCCCACTTGTTCCCAAAGACTATTTCTCTTGTAAATGTGTCACATAGGAGACCTCATTTTTAGAAGTTAAACAACAGCTCTTGTTTAAGCTCTTCAGCTTCATTATTGCAGCTAGACATTTCCATGTTACTTTGAACAAACTGATTTCTCCTATATTTTAAAAACAGAGACGATTACAACCCTGGGAAACAAAGAGGAATTTATATGAACAGTAAACACGTCTGTAGCATCCTGAACTCCAGTATCGTGTCGTATCTAAACGCCATGTTGGCTTCCTGACCGTCAGACATCAGACCATCTTTACACCTGACACACACTCGACTTTCACCTCATCATTTGGAAGCAAAATGTTATCAAATGAGGTACATCAGGGATGCAGCTAAGCCCCTAATTTGATAAAAGACATTTTATTTAATTTTATTTATATAGCGCCAGTTCACAATACATGTCGTCTCATCGCACTTTGCATAGTAAGTTGAAGACTTTACAAATGAGATCCATCATCTAATTTTAATCTTCTCTACATTTATACTAATAGACTAGTCACAACTCTTAAACAGTCTTCACAGTCTCGATTAGTCCTGCAAGTCAAAGACATTAAGTTCCCTTTATATACAGATGACCTGGTTCTCCTGTCTGAAACAGAACACAGCTTAGATTAGATAGACAACCTCCATGAAAGTCTGATTGTGATGTTTCCAGTCCAGTTTCACAGCAGGAGGAGCCACACTTTACCAGACAATAGAATACAACTTCTTGGGCATCACGATCAGTGTATTTGTGAGTTTTGGTAAAGCAGTAAAGCAGATGATGCTGAATGACTGAACCACCATTCAGCTCATCGAGCACATTGTCCAGAACACACGACTGTAGTGTTGAGACTCTCCAGAGAGTTTGTTGTAGTTTGATGGAGACGTGGCTTCTGTCTTTATCACTCTTTTGTTCAGTCAAACAAACTTTATTCCTCCAAAGTATTCAGTTCGTGTAATTGAACTTTCTTCTGCTGTGAACTAGCTTGAAGCTAAAACTGTTGAGTGTGCATGTTCTCCTGGAGCTGCTCGGCGGTGTGCATGTCTGTGAATGACTCAGCGCCGTTAGTCACATGCTGTGAGTGTCTCAGTGTTGAATCCATCCAAGCATTTGTTCCTCCTGACTCACCGGAGAGGCTGTGCTTTCAGGACCAACAGATGCAGGTTTTTTTTTTTTTGTTTGTTTGTTTTTTTTCCACTGTCTTAACTCCTGCTTAATGGAGGTGCTCGGGCATGGAGGTATCCACTGATCAGCAGCTAAACCACCTGCCTGGTGCTGTGTAGGTTCTGTGCCACTTTGGAATTTGGAGAAATTAAATGTAGTTGCATCAGGTTATTAGTTGCTTACATACATGTAGCGGTGATGATGACAGTCGAGTCTAAGTGGGTCAGAACAGAAAGCACAAACTTCACATAATTCCAATAACTGGGTCACATATCTGGCCTATTATGTATTAGTTTCTGTACCCTATGCTATAATCCTATTTTACATCCTGAGACTTTTATTATCTTCTTATTCCTAAAAAAAAAAAAAAGAATAGACCAGAAAATAAACTATACCTGCAAAAAGCAAGAACACAGAGAGGACTCAGCTCTTCTGATAGAGTGTTTGATTTCAGCCCATCCTGACACTTTTTAATGATCTATATTCAAGATCAGCTTTATTCGTCGCATACACATTTATACACGGTACGATGTGCAGTGAAGCGTGTTCTGTACCAGCATCCAGCTTCAATAAAAAGAAAAATAGAGAAATTTAAAAAAAATTTAAAATAAGTGTTCAAGAAATTTATAATTTATATAAATAATAATTAATATAAATAAATCACATAATACATCATAATAAATAAATCACATAAATAAAGCAAACGGAACAATATTTAGATAAGACCAGAAAAAAAAAACACCAATAAAATTACCCACATAAATAAAAAGAATTTAGGATAAAGAAATCGGCCCACTATGATAAACATTGAACATGACCGGCGTAGAGCTGCTGCACCACGGTGACGTTCAGGTTCCCAGTAGCTGGCCAGGACTGGGTTTACTGGAGATCATGCACGAACCTCCACATGCATCCTGGTCTGTGATCCGTCATGCCTCATTTCCCCAAAGTTTGGCTTCATGTCTGTAAACCTGTATAACATAAGGACTACGCACCCTGGTGGTCAGTGCAAGGAAATGCAGCTCATTACAGATAAACGTCACTGCAGCCGTACAGGAGAGGCTAATCAGAGGCTTCCAGGATTTAAAAAAACTGTGTTAAAAGATGTAGTTTTACTAGAAGAGCTACAGGATTTTAAAAAATACAAAATAAAATAAAAACTGGTAGCGCTACAAAGAGAAAGAACAGTGTTACTGAATGAAGATTGTTGCACCTAAAGGCTGTGTAGAGAAAAAAAAGTGTTCAATATGTTATAGCAGCAGAGACTCACTGTACATGAGCAGGAGTGTTACGCAACCGTCATGGCTGCACTGCTGCTGCTATGACAACGCAACGCTCCGTCCTACATAATGTTGGTATCTAGTTGTATAATACAGATAATATTAAGAAAATGGCTTATTTATTTATGTTAATTTCATTTCAGTTTTTTGCGATGTTATTTCAGTTTTAAGTCCAGTTCAGAGGAAGGGTTGCTGTGATGCACTGACTGCATTCATCTTACAATTGTGACTTTTTCTCTCATTATTATGACTTTTTTATATTTTTCACAGGTGGAAACAGGTTTCTATAGAATGGCACTGCATGCATGTAGAGTTCAGTTCTTATGAGCACAAAAACGTATGCTTGAGCAGATACAGTGGCTTAATTTGAACAACAGTCTTGTTCTGTCTCTGGTTCTCATGTGACACTGATGTTCACGTCCCACCTGCTGCTGCTACTTTTGCTACAACAATCCTCCCGACTATAGAAACTCGTTTTCAGCTCCTTTCACTAGCGAGGCTCACACTATCAGTTTGAAGCTTGATTATTATTATAATTCATATTGGCATTGCTTCAGTGTATCGCTGCTGTTCTCCTCTGAGCTTTCCTTCCCCCCTCAGCGTGCAGGTTCTCACCCGTACGTCGGCTGTGCTGTCATGGCTCTGACTGTCATCCAGCCAGTTATGGCAACTCTTAGACCAGCTCCAGAGTCTCCCAGGTAAGACCTCAAACTTTATGTCTTTATTTAATCCTCTCAGAAGCAGTGGTTGCTTTTCTGCTTGCTGAATTCACTTCTGGTTCTGTCTCTTTGCTCCTGCAGCAGGATCATCTTCAGGTGGATGCACTTCGGAGGCGGCACCATCGGTCAGATACTTGCTGGTAAGAAGAGTGACGAGAAGATATCTTTTTATGTGATTGCTGAAAGCTGCTGCTGCTCAGAATGTGGATGACATGAATATGGCATAAAGACTTAGAAATGCACATTTAGTACTTATTGGAGGTCACGTTTTCTGGGTAGTTTACGGTTCTGTACAGAGGTTTACATACACCGTAAAGACCACGTGTATCATGGCAGTCTTGAGATTCCAGTGACTCCTATGGGTGAATTTTCTATTATTTCTAACCCTCTTGTGAATGTGAGTGTGCTTGGTTGTCTGTCTCTAAGTGTAGCCCTGTGATAGACTGGTTACCTGTCCAGGTGAACCTGCCTTCACCCTGAGTCAGCTGGGATAGACTCCAGCCCCCCATGACCCTGGTGAGGATTAAGGTGTAGAGATGATGACATGACAGCACATTGCTTATGGACATTGTATTATCTATACTGTTGTACCAATTTGAGGCGAGCAAAGCAAAACGCTGCTGTGACAAATATTCTACTCTGACAGCAGTGGGCCAGCATACAGAGTTTTTAACAACCCAACGGTTCATGAAGACATCCACCCATCTATTATCTGTAATGTCCTCACTGGGATGCGAACCGGCGACCTTCTAGCTGTGAGGCGACGCTAACCACCGAACCATCTTGCAGCCCCTTCATGAAGACATGAACATTAAAAAAAACACCTCACAGCATATAATTTTATTAAAAAGCACTTAATAATGAGTAAAACCTCTGGCTGTGTTGTTAGCAGAACCTTTGGACATCACTTCCAGGCTGTCCTTACATGCTGTATATAAGTGTTCAGTAGGATCAGCTCATCGTTGGCGGGGCTCTCCATGTGGGATTTGTTGACAATAAAACAACTATTTGTCTTTTAAATCCGTCTTTTTTATACTCTATGGAGTTCAGGCTTACACTGCTGAAGGACTGACAGTCTCCTCTCTCTCTCCCAGCAGTGTGTGTGTTCCAGGGTCCTACCCAGCAGGCCCTGCTGTTGCCCAGTCCCTGGTCTCCTGCAGCGCTCGCTGGATGGTTGCTGTGGATCTTGCTGGCAGACCTGCTGCTGCTGATCCATTCCTGCAGATTCAGAAGTAGAGGTACTGCAGGCCAGTGTTGCTGTCTAAAGATGAAGTGTGAATAAAATGTCTGATTGTCAGGATTTTAAGCTTAAATGTGTGGACGTACTGCAGCCGGCTGATTCCACTGACATGAATGGAAGCTGTTGTGAACGGCGCTGTGTCAGAGACTGAATGCATGACAGATAGTCACAGATCTGTTCACACACACTGTTCAGCCGTTAAGAGTCGCTGGTGCAGCAGTATATGCTGTTAATGTTGTCTTTTGTTAGCTGTGGATTACGTAGACAGCTGATATGATTTGTTTGTTTCAATCAGTGGGGAGTGCTGCTGCCTGCAGCGTGAAAACCAATTGTTCTGTTCTAATGCATCATGACTAAAGCCAAATGATTATAGTGTGTGTGTGTGTGTGTGTGTGTGTGTGTGTGATTGGTGGATGTATTTGTGTGGGAGTGTGTTAAAAGCTTGGAAATGTCAACTCTCAGCCATTTAATTACCAACCTAATGCGAATCCTTCCATTGTTCAGGAGGACACCAGTGTCAAGCCTGTTTTCTTTTAGCTGTGTCGTGTTGTCTTGTAATCGTCTTGTAACAGATTTATGAGCCGTAGAGCCGCACTGGGGTTGACTGGCTGGATGACAACAGGGGCTATCGGCTGACTCCATTGGCCGGTGTTGTTTTTTAACATAAGGCTGTTTTTAATTCGGCTCCATGACGGAATAGATGCTGTGGGATGAAAGATCAGTCGGCAGATCATTTTGGGGCTGCTTTTGTTGTCTTGTAGTAAAAGTAGCTGTTCTGTTGACTTTGTTCTGCCACGGTGGCTAAAGAAAACTAAAGATGGCTGATTTAGTGGAAGCAGCCTCCATCTGGTGCCAGTAGACCCCACCAACCCACCAACCCACCAACCATATGCAATTAGCAGCAATATTTTCATTTTCTACTCAATAAGCACACCTGAGTAAATATCACATGTCCACAGGAACCAGCGAAGACAAAGAAGGCCTTTTGTGTGCTCAGTTAGAGAAGCAGCAGCATGGAGAGGTAAGACTTACTTTGGTTTTTATTGTTTTGCTCATCTATTCTTTGTTGTTGTTGTTTTACATGTTTCTCTGATCTATTGGTTCCTTTCAGATCTCCAAAGTGAAGAAAATAGTGCTGCTGGTGTTTCTGGCAGGAAACACAGGGTTCCTGGCTGCATTTATAAACGCTGTTGTAAGTTCATGATTATCAGCAGTAAGAGACTCTCCCTGTGTTATACATACAGGAGCTATCTCTGGTGTTGAGGAAGATGTTTTCCACAGTTAATCTCACTAATAAATGGAGGAATTTCCCTCTAAGATCCTGTCTGTTAATCTGAACGTGTTCCTGCTCATTTCTCAATAACAGTCCCAATGGGACGTCACACCAGTAACATCACTGCCTCATTATAAACACAACTATGAACTAAATGTAGACTGATACTAAACACAGTTTGCAGCCAAATTCTTCTTGACTTATTATTAGGGTCCGAGCACCCAAAAGGGTGCGAAGACCCTATTGGAACTGCT